AGCAAACATGGCATGAGTTCTCTTGAGTCAATTTGGCTAGAAAGAATATGATTAGACACAGGGACCCAAGTAACAAATTCACAGTGAGTTAAAACAGTTAAACTCATCCTAATCTAACAGGACTGATGAGCCAGATGATGACTGTAAATAAAGTATCAAAGAACTTAAAGAGAGATTGAAATTCCATTGCAGCTGGAATCAGGTTTATAGAAAAGTAGTGTGGAGACCAACGGGACAGTGGAATGTACTGTGCTCACAAGGAAACAATGACCTGTGTTGCAATGACCTCTTCAGCACCTCAAATAAGCTTGTTCTATTTTCAGTCTCCTCCAAAAATTTTGATTCTTTGGCATTCATTCTGTGGGGGGAGTGGCCTCCTACTTACCCTACTAAATTTAAAAAACTCATAAAGAATAAATAACAGAAAGCACCAGAAAATATATGCTACATTTTAAATTGACAGTGAAGGGTATAAACATCAGACTTAAATTATGCAGCACAGTGAACAAATGCAGATCAGCGGTGGCTTCGGTAGCTGCAATACTAATGTAGTGCTGCTTTAGACAGAGCCACTGCAAGTGCTTTAAGAGTCCCACAGCTGCTGGCAGGTGTCCATGCAGAACAACATTTCACAAAATACAAACCCAGTACATCCAAACAGGAGAGTACTTACTCCTAGGGTGGAATCCCATGAGCGAAGAGAGAGCACTGATAGAAGGGAATTCCTTTGTTTTCAAATACCAAGTGGGTGTTACAGTCTTTAGAGGATGCCAGAAGTCAGAGTTTTTATGGAAATCTCCAAATCTGAATTACATTAAAAGGCTTGTAACTATCATCAACCATAACATCAGTCCTTTTACTCAAAGCCCCTCAGCCAGCTGAAGATTCAGCTCTCCATAATTTTAATGTTTTTCTACACAGTCTTTAATCTATCAATATCAAAAGTACAGGATAAAAATTAATCCAATCCTACATTTACAATACAGCTTCAAAAGAATAAGCAGCTGATGTTCAAGTAGAAATTACAATTATGTAATCTGTAATTACTATTTCTGCCCTTAATCAGAAATATTCTGAGACCAAGGTCAGTGTAACTACACTGAGAATTAATAAAACTAGAAGGGTTTATAATATCCAAGAGAGTTAATTCTGATTCCAGACAGCCTGGCTTTCAGATGTGTGGCTGGGCAGCCTTGCAGCACCAGCTCAGCTGCAGCCCATTCTGTGTGATGGGTGTGATGGGCTCACTGTGAGTGTAGAGCTGCTCATGCTGAAACAGTGCAAACTCTCCACCTTCCTCTCTCAATGAGAGACTGTAGAACTTTTAAACAGTTCCACCCCTACCCACCCCAAAAGAAGCTCAAAATAATCACTAGCCATGATTAAAAAAATTCATATGACACTCCATCAGGAAACACCTCTAAAATGTTCTCCAGTGCTGCCAGTGGCTTGCTAAGGGCTTTTCAATGCATTACTGCAGGCCCTAGGTGTTCCCAGCCTTTGTCTTCCATGGTTCCACCATACATGCTGCACTCCAAGTGTTGTGTTTTAGTATGAGCTCCTCAGACATCACATTTCACTAAGACTGGCATCACTAGGTGCTGTCATACAACTACAATCAGGAAGAATACAATGCACTGAAAGTTGTGTGCTTTTACCAGGGCTTTGAAGGCCCTAAGCTCACTCACCTGAGTGAGCTGACATTTAATTCACTCTGCCTCTGGTTTGGTAACTCTTACAAATGCAAAGATGTACAAAATAAGTAGTCCTTATCTTAAGGAATACTTGGAAATAGATGGGTTAGTGCACAATATCAATACTTGGAACGTTTGAGACATAGCGCTCTCTTTGATCTTACATTCTGTTTGCTATTGAAAAAGCAACCATCTCACCCTATGCAAGATAAAAAATGAAACAGAATTTGACATCATGTTAGAAAGATTCAATTCATTAGTGTGATTTGGAATCAGAACTGCAAGCCATGATCTACAAAGTTGCAAATGGAGAAACTAAATTTAAAGTTTCTTCATTTGCAACAAATTTCAAGTTGCCAGGATCTCCAAGGCTGTCCTGTTTATTGGAAATTAAACTGAGGATGTGGATCCAGGGTTATGTTCTTTTAATCACCCGAACTCACCAAATATTAAACATTACAGAAGGTAACACAAGGCACTGCCATAATAAATGACCAGACCATTCAATTTTGATCAGCATGGGGTCCCATGTAATTATCAATGAGCTTAAACTTGTTTACTGGATTACCTTAATATAAAACCCAACTTCTCAGCTGCATTGTCCCTGAAACACTGTAGTGCCACATTTCCTGTCCCCCCCCCACTCCCCAAACTAATTTATCAATTCCCAAATGTTGTGTTTAGAAGCCAGAAGGATAATTAACATTGCTGCTTACACTGCCTGTTACATCTCTGTAATACCTTTTCCCTGTGCACTGGGGGTCAGTGGCCCCTCTCCCCTCTGGCCCATTCTGTCCTGAGCAGCAGAGCTCAGGGGCAGAAGGACAGCAGGAACATCTTACCCATGGGACTGGCTTCTGACTGCAGGGTCACTGCTCCCTGGGAGGGTGGGAAAGGCAGACAGAACTTTGTATTTAGCTCCAACAGCTACTCTAACTCTAAATAATTTTATTTCAAACACTGAAAAGTTGATCTGGTATTTAATGAGATGCAAAGAAATTTGGATAGCTCATTTTAATAAATAAAAAAAACTTTCTAAGCATACCTCTATTTAGAGATTTGATAGAAAACATTTTGATTCTGAATTTACAGATTGTTGAATATGTGTCATTAATAAGACACTAAATCCCTTTGATCCTGATTTAAACCATGTAAATTGAAGTTCCTTTCCAGTGACGAGCATCTATATACCATCAATTTCTGAGTAACACAGAAGCATTTAGCAATTAATTACATAAAAATTATTTTAGCTTTTTATATTTATACAGTTTTAGTCTGTATCTATAGCATTCTCATGCAAAGTGCATTTATTAATGAATTCTTAGAACTAGTTTTGATTATTATTTCTGAATTAAAGTTCAGATCCATTTTCACCATTCTAGAATGCATACACTTATCTACCATTTAATATAACATTTTATTCTATCCCAGATGAAGCCTGGACAGTCTCACATAATATTTCAAAATGCCAACAGAGAAGACATATTCCTCACTGTTACTTTGAAAACCAAGTATCTAATTTGCATTTCTGCCAGACAAATTTAAAATTTGCTGTTTGAGAAATAATGGCAGATAATTCTTAATTAACTCCCAATACTACATAAAGCTGAATTTGTCCCTATTTATGCATTTCTAAATAGGTCTGCATTATGGGCTCAAAAACAAGAAGTGTGAACAGAAATCTGGTATCAGCTCCTTAAAGAGCAGAACAAACTACTTAATATTCTGGTGCTCCTGCAGCTTGATCTAATACTCAGTGAATTGTAGGACTGACATAATATTAATTATGGACATATTTTGCTTCATTATTTATGCTTCATCCAAAAGTTAATGTTTAAGAAACAAACCCCTCATGCTTAATTCTCTTTCAACTTTTTGCTAATTATCACAGCAGGAAGAATGCACATTTAAACCAACCCAGATGACTCCTACTGTTTGCAGCCTCTAAAACATGTGTTCCCTTTGTAAGCTGTACTTAAAGTAGGAATAAAGGTCATGTTTGTATAAATTCAGGCTTCTAATACCAAATTATTTTATTAATTTTTATTTTGAATGACATTATCTCTCTCACCCAGATTTATCTCCATTATAAATTAAGAATGCACCTCCTCTCCATAGAAAACTCATTCTAACATCCTTCCCTGTGGAAGTACCTAACCAGAGCACCCTGTTCTGTATGGAATGGGTGAGTCCATAGGCACATGTACTCAGGGACAGACCTGATGCTCCCCACCAGTGCAGTTCCTCACAGTGGAATCCCTTCTCCAGGGCAGGCTCAATACTGAAGGCAGACTCATCAAGCTACTTGGAAATGCCCTGTGGAGGAGTCTCTCTCTCTCCAGTTTCTTTGGGAGGCTGTGGGATGAGCTTCACAATTCCAATAAGTACCCTCAACCTGTTCCTGGTTTTACACATTGTTCCATCTATAAACTGCTTACACCTGAGCACAAGGGCTCTGTGCTCTGCTGGAACCATTCATCAAGTGAATGTAGTTATTGATTTAGACCACAAGGTTATAAATCTGACTGGAAACGGAGCTAAGTATTCATATAGACACCAGGGACATGGATATAATTCTTTTCCTAGCAACCTTTAAGCTACTTATACCAAACCTTCCTCCTTTATTTTAAGAGCCAAAGTAATAGGCCATAATTTTAGAGATGAACAACAAGGGCACACACACTATGGCACAATTCATCCCATATTAAATCCTTTCTTTAGGGAACAAGAAAGCATCAAAGCAGTGACCTAGCAATGTACCAGAAACATGAGCAGCACCACATCATTTTAGCACAACTGCAGTACCTCTTAATTGGTAACTGGCTCATGGCAGAAACATTAATTTTTTTGTTCCCCCAATGTTGTAAAATGTAATAAATCAGGATTTTGTTTCTTTTCTTCCCTCTTATAAATATTATCTCTACTTTTGGAATCAAACAATTGACCTAATGACATCTTTTCAGGGACATTATGTGAAAAAGTCTGTTTCATTCACAGCTATCTGAAATGACAAATAAGGATCAAGAAAAAAGGTTTCCATTTTTTTCCCCTTTGGTCAAGATAAACAATTTTTCCTAATTTTGAACAGTACAGTAACCTTTTTATGTTAAACTGCTTTCAAATATTTGGCAGAGACCTGTCCAAATAATGCATTTAGTTACTAAGTATAAAGGTTAACTGCAATGACTACATCTAGCACAAGGACAATCAGTTCCAGAAGTAGCTGTGCTGCCTCTGCATCTTTTCCAAAGAAGTGTCAGAAAGAATTCTTGGCTAATGCTTTCAAGAAACTTCCCAATTAAGCTGGGCTATCTCAGAGCTCAAGACAGAGTTTGTGAAGTCTTCCCCTGAAGTTCAGCAAGTAACAAACAGGAACTGCACAGTACCTTTTCCAGAGAGTATTTAGCTGTGAAGACATAGAAGATGAAAACAGAACAAACCCCTTCTAAGAAATTAAGCACAAAGAAACCCCAACAAAACAGAAAGCACAAAGAAACCCCCAAACAAAAAACACCAATATGTTTTGCAACTATTCCCATTGAAGTCTATGTACTAAATCTTTGGCTGATATTGATGCATGAGCATCATTTATAAATTTCTCCTGAAAATATAGGAGAATTCCATCAGCTGTTTAAGAAACTCTAGGGCTTTAGTTTTACACTTTAATGGCAAAGAACAAATTTGTACATCTACATGTATATGTGAGTATATATATTTATGCATGCATATGTATATGTACTATATAAATACATATATAAAATAATATATACACAAACGTACACTGGACATTACCTTTCATGGTCCTTTTCTCTCTGTCTGCATTTAAATATATTTCTCTTGAAGCTTGTATTCAAGTTTCTTACTGTAAGTATTCATTTTATGAAAGAAACTACAGACTTGCAGAGGTATATTAATATTGATAAGCCCCTCAAGCTGCTGTTCTTTGTAAGCAAGACACAAACAGGCACACACAGAACTTCTCATTATTATGCTACAGATGTGCATTAGGGGAACACAAGAAAAGTCAAAAGCAGTATTTTCTTCTCCTACCACATAAATTACCAGTGTATCCCAATATTTTGGAAATTTATGCTAACCCCAGGAAGCACCAAATAATCTTCATCTGCCCTACTTAATACTTTGCAACTCTGAACACATCAGCGCCATGAATAGCAGCATTATTATTAACTATGCAAGGAGAAAAAATGATTACCATGTATTTATTTTAATTAAATCCTTTAGTTTATATTAAAATCTTTCCATTTGAGCACAAGAAAACCACTTTCTAAACTGTGTGCCCTGGTAGGTAGTAGAACTGATCTGGGCAAAGACCAGGATCTCTCCTAATATACACACAGGAAAAACCTCATATATTTTTGCCCTACTCTTCCTAAAAGAACATTCCTAATGATGGGCTACATACACACAGAATCAGACAGATTTCCTTTTGGAGTTACAGCTGCTCAGTGTTGCCTTGCACATCTCTTGTGTTTGGTTTGGAAATAAATGGAACTTTAGCCTGCCTGGCTTAGGAAAACCAGTGGAAGCTACAGGGTTCTGTTCTGGATGGTCACCACAGAGACGGATTCCCAAGCAGACAAGCATTCAGTGGCTGTAAAAATGCCTGCTGCTGCTGAAGCATAGGACAAGATCCACATCTCCATATCTTTTGTTGTCACAATAGACAATGTCTAGAGATGATGCTGCAGGTGGTATGGCTTGGCTCCACTCCCCTAGTTCAATCACAGGAACTCCTCTGTGGTTTAAAATTATCCAGTCTTCAAGCATGGAATTTATGGAAACAAGGGTTTTAGCCCCAAAAGTCTCCTCATCAGTAGAACACATGAACTATGACACAAGGTCTTTCTTAATCTGTCTTGGTGAGGTGTAATCCTCAGCCAATTGCTGATGGCTGAGGATTACAGAGCATAAAGGCTCCTTTTGGAGGGCAGGGCTGCAGGCACTGCGGTTTGAAAAGAGGAAATCCAGATGCAATTGCTATATCACAAATAGTCTGGTATCAAATAGCAGCTCTCAGTCCAAGGCTAATTAAATTGGGTCACCCTACTCATATCATCTGTGCCCGCTCCATCTTGATCCTTACAGAAAGTCAGCCACTGCTTTCTTTCCTTCTTAGCCCAAGCAGAAGCAGGAAAAAAAACCTACTGGGGACAATTCCCTTCACGTGTAAGACATGAACACCCTACATGATTTGGCAATGCTTTCACCTGTGGTATCATTCACTTTTTCTAGGGAGTTTCACTAAGTAAAATCAGCTTCAAACACTCCACAGATATTTGCTTGCTGTAAAAAGCTCCCAGTCACCCACATTTATTCCTATTCTCTGCTGTTACTGTGGATGCATAATCACAAAGCACATACCCTCAATGTATGTTCTATTTCACCCTCTGCAGAACATGGTTATAAAGGTTACATAAACATGGTTATTTGTAGTTAAATATGGTTATAAAAACAGGTTATAATTATTCATTATAAATCAACAGACAGTACTGCACAGTGGAAAAACTTATTAAACTATCACAGGGGATGCATACTTATTTTACACTTGAGTAATTACTACCATTTAAGCCATGAATAACATAAGCAGGAGTTATTAAGTGAAAGCTGGAAACTGGTTTTATAGCTCAGTGGGAAAGAGAATACCATTTGAGGCAAACAAAAGAGGATCATTGTGTCTTGCAGGCAATAGAAAAAAATTAGGGAAAAATGACACTGATAATAAAATCTATGTAATTGCCATAGTCTGATGCAGCTAAAAGTGACACCATGCCCAAGCAGGTTAAAAAAACCAGCATCATCACCCAAAGCCTCAATTTACTGGGAGTTAGGAACAAAGTAAGTCAAAGAAAGCAATAAGCTATGAGATATTTATTAAGGCTGCATCATAAAAGTGACAGAAGCTATAAACCAAAGCAAGATTTAATTTTTTTTTTCAAGCTATATTAGTAATTGTTCCAAGCTATTTCTTTTTTTGGAATGAACAATCTACAAAGGAAATTTCAGACACTGGAAAAGTGAGACTGGGAAACAGTCTTGTTTGTTTACCAAGACAAAATATAAATCACCTTCAATTACTATCAAAATGGAATTAGCAATAAAAAATGCATAGTTGCAAGAGCATGGTCATGTTAATTATTAATCTAATAAACACTAACTGATGGCTACTTTGGAAAGCTGGTGCATTGCTAAAGCTCCCTCAGATCCACTTTTAGCTGGAGCAGGTCAGGGCTCATTTGAGCAGCTGAACTGACAGAACTGATGAGTGGCAGATACCCGGGAGAGAGAGAAGCGGGGACAAACACTGCAGTCAAAAGTGAATTTATGAACAAGTTGTGAATGAAATGAAACAGAGAAAATAGAACATTTTCACTATTAAAGGATAAAATTTCACCATGACAAAAAAAGGACACTGGTTTTCAATGGTGCTTACCTCTGCACTGACACCCATAAAACAAATGGTCACTGTAAAGAAAACCTAAACTCTTTAGGATCTGGGAATCATGAGGAACCAGATCTCTCTGCCAGGATGGCCAGGGAGGCAATGGGAGCCTCTGTGACCAGGTTCCCTGCAGCAGCATTTATATCTGGATTGTGAGTGACTACCCAGACAATTCTTCTGCTCAAATTTCACAATCCAGCTGGCCCATGGTCCCACACAACCACTCCAGCACAGGCACATTGCCTTTATCTTAATATCTGACCATTTTCACACCTTCAGGAACAGTTTATATAGATTATATACAAATATCTTCACTATATTAAATCTGCCCTCTTCTGCAGCAGGAGCACTCTAGGACACTCCACCAGGACAATACTTTAAGCTTACAAATTGGACTAGACACAGCAGGAGCTGGCAGGGGAATACTTGAGAACCTGCCAAAATTCCCTCCTTGAAAGATCCTGAAGCCTTCAAACACGTCTCTGCAAAGGTGACTGGGAGAGCTGTCCATCACCTAGTGCAAACTACTCCACTCTCCTCTCTGCAGCTCCTGCATCCCCTGGGTAACCACTGTGTGACTCCCATGCACTGAGTGCAGCCACAGACCTGTTAGCAGCTGCAACAGTCAGAATTATAGAGCAAACCTTATTTTCTCACAGCTCAAATCCCACAGCTCTTACCACACTTGCTGCCTCCAGCCCCTGCTGAGTCCAGTCAGAGCCCTGGTGAAATGCAATTGTCTGAAAGGCCTGAAAAAGATCATTCAGCACATTCTCATTTGAAATACAACTACTATGAGAAGTAACCAATCTCTTAAGCTCCATGATAACATGATAAGATGCATATGCTTGCCACACTGTCAAAAAGTTTGATTCTTTACCAGAAACCAAAACAAACCACTTTAGAGAAGTAATTGGTGCTCCATTGGCCATAGAATAAATACAAGTGGCTAATGCAAAGGAGATTATTTTGCTTGTATTCAGATCAAATTTGCATTTTAAAACTCAAAGTTTAACAGAAATAAGTTAATAACTGTGGTGATGAAATGAGGGTGACCTTTCACAAAAGAAAGTCTTCCTCTCTTCTTGCCAAACAGAATAATATAGAAAAAGTAATGCTCTCAAGAAAAAAAGATTCAGCTTCTCAAAAGATCAAGAGTCCATATATAAAATCCAAAGAGGACAAACTGGTTCTTTCCAAAACTTTAATTAGAAGAAAAAAGAAAAAAGGCATTTAATGGCACAACTATGCACTTCAACATACCTCTCAAACTCACTGGACCATGGAAGGTAAAATCATGTCACAAAATTGGGTTTTTTTCGCTCTCTAGTAGAGCAAACATGTAGTTAGGATAGATTTCAATTCCTGAGAAAAAAACTTCAGCTATTTCTGTACCCACCTCCTTTTCCTCAAGGGTTACGGGCTAATACATATGATATTCAATAGAAATGTTTGCAAACACACTCAAATGGATTCAAAACACTGAAAATGTTTCGTCTGACTCTCAGATATTGTTAGGAGGCAAAATTGACTGTAAATGAAGGGGTTGATAAAATGTAAATGACTGTAAATGAAGGGCTGTAAATTGCAGCTGACTGTAAATGAAGGGCTTGATATTGATCTCCTTTGTATCAGAACTATAAACCCCTTGACAGGAAAAAAATTCATATGATTCACTTCAATATAGAGAAAGAAACCAAAACATGGCCCCTAGAACTTAGTGAACATTCAGGGAGTGCAAATAACATCCAGAGTAGCTGGATGCAAAGAGCATTAGCCTCAAGGAGTCCTGATAACATTTAGATACAGACTAAGCCTTAAATTTGCATTTTTTGGTGTGTATTAGATGATATTACCAGCAGAATATAGACCAATTACATTATACTGCATTTTAATTAAAGATATAAAAATTCAAAATGTAAATGAAATCAATAATTATATAATAATTACTAATCATCAGGAAAATTCACTATTCTATTTTGTTATCTGAAAAAATATTAAAAATGAAAAGCTATGAAGCCTTGCAGGGTAGAAATACCAGAACTGCATTTTAACTAATTCAGAATCTCGTTCCTTAGCTCACTCAAAGAAATTCAAACACTGCTTGTATAGCTTAACAAACTGTGTATTTGTCTAATTTAGATGGTTTAATACCAATTTATTATTTAGATCCCAAGTTCCTTTGCAACACATTTATCTTAAATGAAGGATCTCCAAAGTACAGGACCATCATGGAAATACTCCCATGGCATCATCAACAAAGGACAGTCATGAGTGACCAAAGGCCACATGCCAAACTCCAATGTGTTCAGCTCTCTGCAATTTTATCACTAAGAAAAAGTGGAATTCAGATCAGCTATATACTAAAAGGGATATTTCTTGAAAAAAATAAAACAGAAAATTATTATTTTTAAGTACAAGAAGCATGTAGTCTGTAATAACTCTGTAAAGAGATCCCTTTCGGAGTAAGAAAGTACATCATGTGTATATTTGAGTATTTTCAAGAGGATGCTGCACTAGCACCTTAATTAAATAGGAAGATGCCATGTAATTAGTAAATGAACATGTAAGTCTAATTATTTCAGAGGATATATATGAGGAGGATAATTAGCAATGTCAGTGATTCCCAGCACAGCTAAAACACTTGTTTATTCAAAATTTTTAAATTGTGTGCTCAGTAATGAGCATTTAAAATGAAACCACTTGTTTATTTACATTGTCCCGGGATTCCAGTGAGGAGATGTTGGGTGTGAAGGCAAAATGTGACCTTTAACACACATCCTGACAGCAAGGAAATTCCCTGAGGATGAAATAGATGGTTCTCTCCTGCACCTCTGGACTTTCTCAATATTAGTGAATAGTTAATGAATTTTTTTCATACTTCAGAAATAAAATACATGACAAAGTACAAAGGAGAAAAAATCAGCATGCAGTTTTGAGCTTTCTAATCTTTCCTATAATTCCCTTAAAAGACAGGAGCACACCTTTGGTGCATGTTCCAGTCAGAACAGAGTGAAGCAGACACAATGGCCCATCAGTGACACAGATTCTGATGTGGTAGTAACAGCAACAGCTTCGTGATTAGAAAGTCCCTTTTTCACTTGAATAAATCCTCTTCTATGCTTGATTTAGTGCTTCAGTGATACTTACCATTTGTCCCTTCCCTGCTTGTCTGAAGCTGCAGCTGGATCTACAGTCCATTCTCAGCAATGCAGTTCAGTATGAGCAAAGGACCACAGGACTTTGCTTCCCTGCCTGCTCCCAGTCTCATAAGGGAAGCCACTCGCATCAGGCTCTGTTCTGCTTTCTGATGTTAAAAGCAGCCCACACCTACTCTCTATAGAAAACTGCTTAAAGGCTTTTCAAAAATGAACTTACTGAAGGTATAAGCCTAATTTACATATAATTTGTACTACACTGAATTTCTCTCCCATTCTTATCTCCCATTACCTTGGATAACTCAGAGATGACTAAGTAGTTCTACTGACAAGGGTATTAAATGTTTTGAACTTTTGCTGTAAATGGGGTTCCTTTCCACTGTGAAAACAAAAAGGTTTGATGGGTAGCACTTTTCTTGAATAATCTTCCCCATCTATGATCCCAAACAAATAGATAAGTCACAAGAGAAAGCTGGTATTAAGGTGTAACACCTTTCCTAATAATCCATGGTATATTATGGGCACAGTTTAGAAAGAAGCATATAGTTATTCAGCAGGGAAATGTGTTGTACTACGGATATATGGAAAATTCCAAATAGCAGGGCTGATGGTGTGAGCAAGTCCTGACACCTCCAATATTATACTCCATATTTTACATACAGTGTGTCTTGTCAGGGAAAAGACATAACCTATACTTCTTTCACAATTAATACCAAGTTATCACCACTAAAGAGTGATAGAGAAACAGTTAGATTCTCATACAGCCCTAAAAGTTTCCGAATATTTGAGGACACAGGGTTGCATTAGGGTCATAGCTGCCATCTATCAGTAGCTAAAGCCCTCTGGATACAAATGCATGAAAGGGTGGGAAGTGAAACTCAAAATCAGTGGGGTAACTCATTGGCATGCTGTTTGCTCCTTTTGTTACTGCTTTTACTAACTCTAGAGCACTTGAGGCTATCATAAAGAAATACAAAGTTACTATTGAACAAAGACTGATGAACACATTTTTAGAAAGTTGAATCGTAACACCTAGTCTTGAGTGAAGTGTACTTGAGAGGCCAAATGGATAAAGGTTTTGTCTGTGCTGGTTATTTTAAGCAAGAATAGCATGAAGATGTAGAGAAAGAAGCAACTTAGACATCAAAAATACTTTAACTAAAGATAATGCTGTGAGTACTTGGTCCATTTAGGAGGCCAAACAAAGCTACTTGTGAAATATTACTCATCTCAGAGCACAATGAGTAACACAATATTATGGGACACATGTAATAACCAAACCTTTTCTTACCTTTCATGCAGAGTCAATACCACCATGTTTCTACTGTTCAGATTAATCAGGCATTTATCACTTTATCAAAACACAATTCTTGCCCTTATATTCACACTTCTAAGTCTTCATAATGCATATTCTGTGTTATACTCTTCTACTGAAAGTTCAGATCCTTGTTTTGGAAATCAAACCCATGCAAATTAAAGTGCAAGCAAGTTCTCCTTGTTCATTTGCAGTCCACTAACCCTACTGGGTAAACACTAATGCCCTTGGTCATACTGACCCAGCCCATACAACACCCATCTCCCCACCTGATAATCAGGGTCCGACTGTCAATCAGAATAAATTTGTCAGACTCATTTCAACTCACACCAAGACTTTTGTGACAGTAAATGAACAATACTTATACAGCAACAATAACCAATGTAACAGCAATAGTTATATACAGGAGATCATGCATAAGAACAACCATACACCCAGACACTTGCAGCTACAGGATATGAAATAAACCTTCCCAAATTACTGAGAGTGTGGTGGTGGCACAAATAAAAAAGAAGGAAAAGTCTTACACCTACCTCCATGTTTGCTGGGACATAGATTCTTATGCACCCAAAGAACTGGCCCATGTTACAAAATTCTGGGAAGACGTGGTGTTCTTGTGAGCTCAAGTAATCTGGAACATTAATAAAAGATTCAAGGTTAGATTTTTATATGCCAAATTTCAAACTGCTGAATTATTCTCTGCATGTAACATCCAGCTTTGAAGGTATTGGTATTTTAGTCTGTGCCTCTTCAAATTTCCATGGTTTTGAAGTAAAAAAAAAGTTTTTTCAAAAACACTACACAACACCTACACTAAAAATGTTTGTTGTTGTTTTTGAAATCTGTTTAATGTTAGAATAACTATATTCTTCTGAAATAACTGTTGGCTTAAAGAGTATTCAAATAGCTTTTTCTGCATTTTAATTACATTAACACTTTAAAAGAAAATTTAATTGTACAGGCTGGATGTTTTTCAGTATTAAAAGGAATCAATTCTCTGTTTTAATGCAAATGACTGGTATGCCTGTTTATCATTTACACAGCTGTAAGCTAACAAATATTATACATACAGTGTGACATTGGTTAGATATGGACAGTAATTGTACCCAGTAAAGCAAAAGTTGCAACTTTTAATCAACCCAAGCCAATAATAAAACCCATAATCACAAGATTCTAGGAAAAGCAGCTCAGTATGTTTTATTACAGAAAGGATATACCAAGTCCATGGAACTCAATTTCTTTTTTTTCAATAAGGAAACATAACAGAGCCCTGGTGGGCTGAGCAGTGCAGCCCACTAAACATTTAAAGGAAACCAGACAATCTGTAAACAAACAAGCAGATGCTCTTAGCATAGCTTGGCAAGACTGCTCAACTTGCATGAACTAGAAAGCCACTGCTGAAATACAATTAATTTTTTCCACTGCAAATAAGACATGAGGAAACTACGTTACACTAAAAAAATTAATGAAAATATCAGCATAATTGACATAATTCCTGTTGAAGGGAAACCTTTGATTGACTTAAACAACAGATCACATCTTTTATGAGGAAACCATGTAAAGATCTGGAAAAGATTTCAAATCTGATTTACAAAATCTTTTGAACAATTATGTTAATGTCTTACTTCACCCTCTCAGCAATATTAACAGTAGTTACTGAATCGAAAAAACTAATTTTAAGTTTATATCTATATTTCAAGGTGAATGGCTTTTAGACAGACTTTGCAAACATTTGGCAGTTCTAAGCAAGCCCCATATCTGTATCAATGAGACTACAAAGGAGAGAGCACCAATAGATGCTGTACTCACACAGGCTGCTGCCAGTACAGTGGGAGTGACCTTGAAAATCATCAGCACTCACCAGAACAGCAGAGACAGCCCCTGCTGCAAAACTACACTGGAGGTATAAACAAATTGGTATGAAAGACTGTGTTTTTGTAAGGCTCTGGGTTACCTCTGCAGTGAAAGCAGTCTGCATGTGAGTAGAGATGTGCTGCACAAAGAAGCTTTACTTACACTTTTACTTAGCTGGTAGCAGCTGTAATTTGCAATTGTTCTTAACTGAGAGAAAGAATATGGGGAAGAGAGGTGATCTCTTATCAGAAGCCAATTCTGATCATGTAACCAGCTTACATAATACTGCAGCAAGTGCCTGGGAAGCCCTGGAAAAAGTCTGATTAATGATACCATGAGAATCCTAAAAGAACAAATACTGACATGATCCATACTGAAAGACGTATTGATTGCACAGAATACAAATCAATAAATATGAGCCAGAGGTGAAGGGAATAAAATTAGATACTAAAAATCTAGAATAGAGTTGTATGAAATCAGGAGTGGCTGGAGATTTGCTGTAATTGATTCTCAAGTTGACACAATTGCTAGGGAAGTGTCTTTACTTTTCAGAGTAACTTGAAGGTTGTGTAAACCCTTTTTCTCTAGCATCACAGTCTGTGTACTGCTACTCCGATTATTAGGAGGTCTATGAACTGTAGTAAAGATTTTTCTGTAGGAAAGACCATATAACTTAAGACTGTGGCACAATAAAGAGGGTCAGCTTAAACTGATAAGTACTATATCAAGAATCAGGGAGCTGAAATTTAAGTTCTCTTCACATATCAATTATTCTGATTTCACTTTTAGAAGTTTTATCAGACATTAATATCCAATAAGATCTTTTTGTTAGAATAAGACCATGTGTTCTTTGTCAAATACCATAATGAGGGCATTAACAAATGTTATTTGCTTTAAAGAATTTTATGAAGCAGTTCATTATCCTAACAGCTCACTGACAGAGAGAAGGTAGAGAACATTAAAGGATATGAATAGCAAAGCAAACATAAATTTGTACAGTAATAAAAAAACAATGATGAAACAGTGACTTAATGTGACACAGAGATGAAAAGGAATCTTGTAATCTCAAACATCTCTCTGAAAAATGCAAAATGTTCTGCCATTTTCCAGAGCAGATAGAAGTTTGTATCAGTTTCTAGAGCAACTTATGAATCGTGGCAAAAATTTCATGTGAAGTGCAAGATGGTTACAAGATTTACAGGAGTATAATGCTAATAGAAAACATAACTCATTTGTTTCACTAACCATGCAAGTATATGACAAATTATCATATTTACTGGGTGTCCTAGCAAAAGCACATAGAACACTGATACTGATTGATATGCTCAGTTTGTGGAGATTTATTAAGAGAATTCTGAGTGGTTTGACAGGGTATATGAATTAGTTTGTGGTTTATACTTCCTTCACCTTCTCATGTTTTTTTTGTGGCCCAGATTAATTTTGTTTCATTTGTGAATCCATCTCATGCATGCTTTATACTGAACTGATACTCCAGAAGTGCTTTACTGACTTATGGTGCCACTTCATTAACTGCTACATTCTGCTGATGATCTCACAGTTCACACTCATTCTGCCTTAATACAGACTAAATTTTATTGATAGATAAAATAATCATAGATCGTTTGAAAGGATAATTTTGGAATATAAAGCATCTATCTTTCAAAATACTGCTGCCCCATTCTTAATTATATTTGTTCTGTTATATTAATTTCCAGATTAACTGTTGAAAAAAAATAGTCTGTTGCAATAGTAAGCCTTTGGACAACAATAACTGAAATTAGAATTCCAGCCGAGTTGAAGACATAGGGAAAGACATTATGACCTGTGTATGTATAGTGATACAACATTGTAAATCCAGTTGGTCACAGAACTGATTCCTTTCACACTGCACAGCATTAGAAGGGAGTGCCTCATGTTATCTATAAGCCCCTGAACATTTAAGCAAAATCTGGACAAGGTCTTATGCCTTATCACAACTGAATGCAAGTTCCTTTGTGCTTATACAAATTGAAAAATATCATTTTTAAAAGGAGCAATAATCAATATTCTCAGAGCTGTCCATGTTCAGACATTCAAGAGAGCAACTTCTGTCAAGTGCAGTTCTGGCAAGAGTCATCCTTTTGTTTTTGAATTCAAAGATGGGGAGAGAATAATAATCTTACTTTGCATATTAAAATCTTTGCATTATCAGGTAAAGTAATGACTGGAAAATTAATATTTAAAGTCACAATAAAATTGACAAGAAAAAAAGTGGTTTTCAAAATTAGAGAAGTAGTTCTCTATTTTTAAAAGCAGATGAGGAGCAGTATCAAAGAGACAGCTGGCAATCCTTGACTCCAGTGTGCTTTTGCTTGTGCCAATAAATAGATCCAACGGTAGGAGATACGGTGCAGCCTTGTGTGCTCAGAGCCTTCAGGACGGTGTGGTGAGATTTATTAAACGATTTAAGGACAGAACTGCCCTGGGTGATGAATTGGAAAGAACAAGAGAAGATAATGAGCTGCTTTTGCTTGTGTCAGCAAAGCCATATTGATGTGTCCAAGCAAAATCAATGAAAGACTGACTGGGTGTTCTTGTCAGCAAAAGACAAATACCTACCTATTGGGGTAAAATGATTTCAATTAAATAATATATAAATCCTACTTAATTTGACATACTGCCTTTTATCCTTCATCAGTGCTAATCAACAGTGATTTTCAGAAAAACTGCTGTCCTCACTTCTGTCACACTACAATATACCTATGTTTCACTTATTTACACATATTAAGTTGTTTTCTGTAAACTTAAGGATTCACTAATAGAATTCATTGGTGAAAACAGTGAAAAATCTCTAAAAAAGATTTTTTAGTGCAAGAAAAGTGTAATTCTATAAATTCACAGTTCTAGGAAATTTTAATTGTCAAGAAAAACCATCTTGTCTAAAAAAGTAACCATCATTGATTTCAACACTTCTCCAAAATACATTTCAGAAAATATATTTAAAAACATTATTAACAGCTTACAAAAGGGGACTGGACTGCATATCAAAGGGAAAGATTTGAATATTTTAAACTGTTTTCTTTACAGCACAAGGTAAGTTAATAAAAAAAGAGACCTGATACCATATTTGTAGTGCAGTTATGATTGAGAACATTGTTTACTCACAAGGGTTCTTTATCTCAAGGAAAATAGGATTGCTAACCACAGAAATGTTGATTATATAAGAAATACCTCACCAAAATGTGCAGACAGTTGTTTTGATTTTAATAATTCACATGGCTGCTCCCGCCCCTTTTTTCATCTGAGGGTTTCAGTCACTCACATGAAACAGCAGCTCAGCAGTGTTGCCTTCCTTCCCTAAAGAAAAGTGTGCTCTTGATGAGTAGTGCTGTAGGCTCCAGAGATAAGGGATGGGGGTCAACACTGGACATGAAGAGTTCAGCACTCAGTACAAGAAAATGCAGTTAGAAACCCAATAGCCCATAAAAGACTTGAGATAACTGAACAAATGCTCTACTGTTTGTTCTGGATCCAGAAGGGAGATTCATTTAGGGTCAAGACTTCCACTCCTTCTTTCTTGGGGGAGGTGTGCCCTACTGTGAGAAATCATTTCAGGGCTGACTAATGGACTAAATCAGGGAAATCTGTGGTAACTCTCCCTTAGTAATACAATACTCTTACCCTCAATCAATAGGTACTCACAGCTGTGACAGGTCTTTTCTTTTTTAAAATAAATCCTAGTTTTTACACTACAGTTAACCAGGTGTGTTACTAAGGAAGATGTCTCTGAAGAAGCAG